CATGGATAATATCAGATGGTTGTTTCATTGCCAGTGGGAGACCAAGCCATGGAATAACCTGAAATATTTTTATGAACTAAGAGAATAGCAGAGAATATCATTGTAAAGTGATGAACACTAAATTCAATAAGACCTACCAGAGAAATACATTCTAATTTAATACTTCTGTTGTGTATTAAATCCATTAGCTGTACAAGAAAAGGGCTCATGCTACATTGTGAGTCAGTGCTGTATCAATTGTTTCATCTTCTATCAGGATTTCAAAAGTGTTCTATCCATAAAACTTTCTTTAATTGGAGTTGCATGAAACATATGTGGCACAGGAAGCATTATTCTGATGAAACAACTTATTTTTAAATTATGAGCAAGATTCTACCTAACTCATCAGTTATTTGGGTGGATTCTTTTTATTTTTACCCTGGCATTTTTTCTGGTTTAAACACTTGTGAACTTCTATAAAAAACAAACAAACCTCCTCTCCCTCTCTCTTCCCTTTCCATTCCCCCCACTCCCAACAAGCCATCCTGTGACTTTGCAAGATCTCAAGCAAAGCCACTTTGAGCCTGGTCAGCACTTGGGAGCAAGACTGCCAAGGAATACCTTCAGAAAATGAGATTGGTGCTAAGTAGGAGCAATGGGCTACCGGAGACTCTTTCATATGAAATGCAAGCCGCATATCTTTACTGTAGATGGTAATCTACTTTAAAGAAAACCAGAATTTTGGTTTTGATCTACCTAACAGTGTGTCTTTCAGTTTGACAGCCTAATAGTGTCACTTTTCATAGAAGTTGAATTAACTGGAGTCCTTACCAAACTTCACCTTGGATAAATACATTTTGTCTACCAGAACTCCCTCTGATTTTAAAAATCATCCTTTTGACTTCCTGCCTTATATATGTTGTAGTGTTGCTTTGTGGCTATTTAGGCAGCTGCTCTCTTTAACTTCAGAGATGAAGGTTAAAATGACCTTGTTGTAAAATAAATCTATGAATGTAAGATCATTATTTCTAATGTTGGCTATTTGCTTTAGTATTTAAAAACACAATCTTGTATATTAGAAAGTGACTATTGTAACCATCCATTACTTGTAATTCTTCAGGGTTTGATTACTAGCCAAGTCATTAGTAATTTTGGGTGATCCAAATTGAGACACCTTTAAGGACAGGGAATTTGCTGCTTCCAGTGATGTAGTGATGAGGATAGAGGGGGTGCAGTTTGCCCTTGAACACCATGCTGGGGTGTGTGTGCCAATTTAGCTGCCAAAAGTTGTGGTGGTGGTAACTTTTTTACGATTATTTCCTAATGCGTGCGAACTGAGGTGATTGGGTACAATAAAACACATGGTCTAGACTGGCAAGTTTTTCCGCAAAAGCACTTGCTTTTGCGGAAAAACTTGCCAGCTGTCTACACTGGACGCTTTGAATTTGCGCAAGAACGCTGACGATCTAATGTAAGATTGTCAGTGTTCTTCCGCAAATACAATGACTCTCCCGTTTGGGAAAAACCCCTTTTGCGCAAATGCTTTTGAGCAAGAGGGCCAGTGTAGACAGTTGAGAACCGTTTTACGCAAAAAAGCCCCAATGGCGATCGGGGCTTTCTTGCGCAAAACCGCGTCTAGATTGGCACAGACACTTTTGCGCAAAAGCGTCCGTGCCAATCAAGATGCTCTTTTCCACAAATGCTTTTAACGGAAAAACTTTTCCGTTAAAAGCATTTGCGGAAAATCATGCCAGTCTAGACGTAGCCATGCGGAATAATCTCAATGCTTTCATACGATAACATAACGATCGTCCTATTTACTTTTTGAAGGTTTCGCTGAAACCTTTTCACAGTCGACTGTTGGAATATATACAAAATAGGAAATAGCTTTTTTATGATTAACCACTACTACTTTTGTCAGCTAAGTTGGTGCCCCTCTAGCGTGGTGCCCAGGGGCAACTGCCCCCCCGCCCTCTCTCGCAACACCACTGGCTGCTTCTCCAGGTTGAAAAGAGAAGCACTAAAGATGTTCCCAAAACACAAGCAAGCTTCACATTGAATGTCAGCAGATATTTTAATATAAATTGAGGCATGTGGATTTTTAAATATAAATTACAACTATCATACATTTAAAAATTCACGGACTATCATGCTTTTTCTATTTTGGTTGAAGAGCAGGAGGAGACTTTCTAACCATAAGGGAGATTAGTTGATGGGATAGTTTGTCCCAGGAGATTATTAACCCTTATCATTTGGGTTAAGAGAGTATGATTTGATGGCTAAAATTTATTGTGGGAACCTTGATTCCTGATTCTGCCCCATTTGCATTCTTGGAGCTTCAATTTCTCCATCTATGTAATGGGGATGGTTATGTATATCCATCTTTGGAAAATGCTTTGCAATTGGTGGATGGAAAATGCTATCTTTATAAATGCTAATTGTTGTAGTTTTACTCAGGCTCTCTTGAGCCTCTCTGATGGAAGGTGCCATATCAATGCAAAATATGGTTATTAAACCTAGTCTGAATACCAGTCTGTTGCATATACTTTAGAGAGCTGCCTGATGGTGGTGAACTGAACCTTCCAGTTTGCAGGGTGGCCTAACCCAAATGTCCCCAAGAAACCCTGGTGCTGAACGGGGCTGTTCTACTAAAGCTGCTGGCAGATCCTTTCTGGGCTCTAGCCCTATAGCTTATGTTGGAAGAAAGAATGGCACTGTGCATTATTTCCGTGTTCCAAAGGTGGTGCCCTCTGCTGCCTTTAGGGTCCTCTAATGCCTCCCCCCTACTCCCCGCGCACCCCCCGCAAGCAGCTGCTCCTGCAGCACTGTAGCTTTAAGAGAAAACTCAGCTGTTTGTTATCCTTCCTCCTAGCTCCCATGCTGGCAGGGCCAGAGTCTTTCCCATTGGCTGTCTGCTCCCCAGCTGTTGTCTGCTCCCTGCAACCTACTCCCCAGGAGGGTGGGGAACAGGACGTGGCCTGGCAGCTTGATTGGTCCCCCCAAAAAGGGTTGGACTTCGCCCCAGCCAACCGTCTGGATGTTGCTATGTGCCAGCTGGTGAGTATAGGCGCAGCCCGCTGGCAGTCAGGGCTAGCATGCTCGACTGAGCAGCTATAAGGGGGAGGGAGCCTGCGGGAAGGGGGAGGGAGCTGCAGAGCTGCCTGGAGAGGAGTATCCTGGTTTGTTCCAGCCGACCAGCTCCGTCTGTACGGGGGACGCTCCGAGGGCTGCTGCGCTGGGGCTGGTAAGCGTCTGGGGGAAAGCAGAAGGGCTCTGCGTCGGAGAAAGGGGGGAGGGAAAACGGGAGCAGGGGGCTGCTGGGGACGCTCTGAGAATCTGCCCCCCAACCTCCGGAACCTGCGCAACAAAAAGATCGGCTTCCCAGCGCTGTGCGCTCGTCTCGGGCCAGGGGTGTCTCGGGCCAGGGCTGGGTCCGGGCCAGGAGGCCGAGGCAGCCTGGCTGGGTTTTTTGGGGGGGGAGGAGGGGTGTCATGACAAGCCAGCTGTTGCGACTGGAGCTTGGAGGGGGGGAGGAGACGCGTTTGGTTCTTTCCCTCCACTTTCAGCACATGCTCTTTGTCCCCCGGAATTCAGTAGTGCTTGGCCGTAGGAGCCGATTGCACTGACGGGGGGTGTAGAGAATGGTGGTGGAAGAAGACAGTTCGCATCCGTTCAGAATTCACTTCCCCCCTCTATTTGTAATGGGGGGGAGGTGGCTCTACGCCCTTCTTTCCCAGGGGATCCCAGATTTGGAACCTGCATCTCCTCCATTCCGACCCCCCCCCCCACCCCCCCAAGGTGGCCCATCACACCTAC